GTCTCTCTCATTCCAAGAGACACTAAACTTGTCATTGTCAGACTACAGGGTTCTTCCCAAAGCTATTTTGCTCACCATTTGTACCTACTGGGTAAAATTGGTGAGTTGCAACCAGATTCTCTAAGAGGAGGTTCTGAGGGACAGGTCTGGTCCAGACACTCTTAAGAATGAGGGGTGAAGAGCATCTGGGCGGAGCCTCTGAAGATGAGAGGAACGAAGAGCCCAATTTACCAGGCTCTACACTTAAAACAACTCAGCATGCAGTAACTGTGCTTTGCATTTCCTAGTACCGACAGTTTCTTCAGTCCTTGGAGCCATAAGCTGAGGATATAGCTCAGCACTGGGGCTGACATTCTGGTCCAAATGATGTGTTAAAGAGGCTGAGTGAATTTGGACCTTACAAGAGCAGCCCATGCCAGCCAGTCCAGCAAGCCCAGTACCCTTTAAGGCTGGCATCCACACTCAGATTCAGTGTCTTTTCCATGTGGATGTGTACCTACTGAGAATCCTCCAGGAAACAAAATTCAGGTGTAAGCACAGATTGAATTCTGAATAACTTTGATACAGAACTTCCAAATGTCTCAGTTGGCACTTGGATCATATAAGTTGTATTCATTGTGTGTTTGGTATTTTCATAAATAGTATTTTGGGATTCCTAATGTATTCAGAACAAATCATATACATTTTAATTCCTATAGGCACACATGAAGAACATTTAAATATCCATAAATGAATTGAGCTATGGGTGGTATTCTTCCACTGTGTGTGAGTGTAATACAAAATGGTTAAGGACATATTTTCAGAACCCTGGAACACAAAGTCCATCCCACAGACCTCTGAGCATGCTACTGCAGCTGGGAAGCATTAGTCTGCCATTATTGTCATTTGCCTTGGGAGTGATCTTCAGTACTTGACATGTGTGATTGTTCTGATGGCCATTCAGTGAGTGTTAGTCCGACAGATGACATGGTAAGGGCACTTCTAGGGAGGGACAAAAATAGCCAGGTTCCAACTTCCATTCAAGGATCCCAGTTTCCCGTAAATATAAGTTTTCTTCCTGCAACAGAGGACCACTAATTCTGCTTCAAAAGTAGACTATTTTCTCTTCACATTTCATCCTCGGGACTCTATTTCCTTGATGTGTTAAGGTAGCATGCAAAATAATGGGTTTCATAATGACATATTCCCATATTCTTGGTTTTTATCAGTCCAAGTGTCAATCACTTTGTCCTACTCCCCATCCTCATTTTCCCAGTCCCCTTCTTTCTCCCTGATTGTCCCTGTTACTACTTTCCTGCCCCCTGTATACAAAGAGTTACTCTTTGTACCTCTTTAAGGACTCCACCTCCCATCTTATGATATCCTTTCTAGTTTCAAGTCCCCCCAACACAAAATTAAGCAAGAACACACATTTAAACACGGTTATTCATTTGAAGTTAACCCTGAACCATCTTTCTTTCTGCATTTGGTTTGTTTTGTTGAACACATCCATTTATCAGCACCTCTGACCACTCTCTGCATCCTCACATAGAGGTCTCTTGTCTCTTCCCTCTCCACAGTTCCATTCATCAGAGCCATAGCCATAGGAACCCACATTACCTCCGTCATCCCTAGGAGAGGTACATGGGGCATTATGGCTCCTCCATACAAATGATATGTGAAATGGGCATATGACACAGCTCACCTCATAGCATCAGCCATGGAACACTAATAAGTCTAGACCTGACTACAACCTTTATCATACGAACACAGGTTATGTGTCCCTTGTCTGTAGTGGCCCAGAACCCTAGGTCTTATTTGTACTATCTATGTCCTTCAGATATAAGCCTTAATTCTGCTATTCTGTAAGCTCTTCTGGCTTTGCTGCCATTCGGGTCTGACCTTGGACTTGGCTCTGTTAAGTATCTACTTCATCATCTATTCGTGTTCATATAAAATCCTAAATCTGTCAGTGCATCTTATTTTGCTAGAGTGGTACCTTGTCCCCTAGGCCTGTTGTATATGTTAGTCAATCTTCACTATTGGGCCATATCCCAGGCTAAGGAGAAGTATTTTTTAAAGAATTATTGTTCATTTTAATGTATATAAGTGCACTATAGCTGTCTTCAGACACACCAGAAGAGGGCACCAGATCCCATTACAGATGGTTATGAGCCACCATGTGGTTCCTGGGAATTGAACTCAGGACCTCTGGAAGAGCAGTCAGTGCTCTTAACCTCTGAGCCATCTCTCCAGCCCCCGAGAAGTATTCTTTATTGTGAGTTTTGGTGAATACTACTCACAACACTTTCCCTGTGATGACTCTACTGTCTTCCTAAACTTGTCTCTGTTTTGCTCCCTAAAGTCTGTTCTAGGGACCTAGGTCAAGGATAAAGTCACTTAGAAATGTATTCCATCATGGCATGTATAGTGGTCTACTCCTGTAAGCCTAGTACTCCAGAGGCTGGAGCACAAATATCACAATTGGGCTATCAAGTGAGTTCCAGTATTGCCTGGGACACAGGATTAGAACATGTTTCAGTAAACAAAAAGAAACAAAAAGAAAAAGATATTTATTATAGCCCAGGAGAGGCTATGATCCTGACTACTTGAAAGTTGACAGAGGGCAATTGCAAATTTGATGGCAGCCTGGGTGATTTAGTGAAAACTCATCTGAAAATGACACTGAGTGTGCATGTTAATTTTGATAGTCTGAGTATTTCAGAAAAGTCTAGGACATAGCAGTAAAAGTTCCACTTTTGGGTCTGGAGAGATGGCTCAGCGGTTAAGAGCACTGACTGCTCTTCCCGAAGTCCTGAGTTCAATTCCCAGCAACTACATGGTGGCTCACAACCATCTATGGTGGGATCTGACGCCCTCTTCTGGTGTGTCTGAATAGAGCAATGGTAAATACATAGAATGAAAGTAAATAAATAAATAAATAAATAAATAAGTTCCACTTTTCCCCATGTGTGAGGACATTTCTGAAAGTAATTGTGTTGTGGGATTTCTCGTCCAATCACCAAGTGAATCTGTTGGAGATGTCACATGGTATTGGTAGTTATGTGGGAGGCAAGAATTTTTGAGGAATTACCTCATTAAAACCATGTACTTGAGGCTGTTTCTTGCCTTGGGCCCTTCTTATATTCCTTGTTGGCCACCCTCATCCAGGATGAAGGGAGGAACAGCCTCTCCTGTATGCTGCATGTATAGAAAAAGCATCCACCAACTGAACCCACTGAAACTGGAAGTCCAGAGTAATCTTTCTACCTTTACTTCTTTCAGTATTTTGTCAGCAATGAAGCAGTAACTACTAGTCCAGTGCAGCTCAGTGGTAGAGCCCTTGCCTAGCATGCAGGAGGACCTGGCTTCAATCCCTAACATCAGACATTACAACTTACTCCCAAAAAGCTAAAATTAGAGGGTAAAAAACTAACTTTTGATCTTCATAGAAGTGAGCATCTGTCTACACTGAGCCTCAGGCTTGTTGGTAGATGAAGGTCCCATGTGTTGTCAAGCAAAGCCAGATTCTCCCACATCACAGAATTTGGATTTGTCACCTGTGTGCAGACAGGGAAGGAAGCATGTAGTAACCAAAAAAAATGAAATGAGATAGTTGTAACTAGACACATTTCTAGTGTAGCATGGCAGGTAGTAGGTAACCCTAGTGATGACTTGTATATGTGTGTGCAAGACACATGTTAACATAAACAAATAGATGCCTGCTTGACAATCCTAGGCAAGGGGAGGGTACTGTACTTCAGTACAGGGATGACTGACACATGATGCCTTAGGGAAATACAGGACACACAAACAGCAATATGCATTAGGTATATACCTTGCTGAACGGCATAATGATGGACTTATTATATTTCCAATTTTTTGAGTTATTTTCTGCATGCTTACATGGATGTGTGGTGTGGTGTGTGTGTGTGTGTGTGTGTGTGTGTGTGTGTGTGTGTGTGTGTGT